GAGCGCTGCTTCGCCCGCCTCAACGATGCGTGGCGCACCCAGTTTCCTGGTGGGGGTGAGCTGCCGCGCTGGGCTGAGCTGCTCAGGAAGGGTGTTGATATTTGGGCACTGGACTTTGATGCTATTCTCACTGCCATGTATGCGATGTCTATTAGTGGAGAGGGTGCTCAGTACTTGCGTGTTCCGCCCGACCCAGGCATTCAGGCCAGCCCCGCTGCTGCTCTAGGTGCTAGTGTGTCTGCTTCCACAGGTACTACTGCAGCTGCTGCTCTAGGTGCTTGTGCGTCTGTGCCCCCTGGTACTGAGTCGACTGCAGCACTGCACACCTTCACACTGGACTCAGGTGCTTCTCGCTCTTTCTTTCGTGACCGCACTGTCCTTGAGCCTCTAGCTCGGCCGGTTGCTGTCTCTCTTGCTGACCCCTCTGGGGGTCCGGTCCTTGCGACCTCCTCCACCACCCTTCCGTGTCCAGCGGTTCCGTCCGGCACGCTCTCAGGTCTCTACCTCCCCTCGTTCTCCACGAACTTGGTGGCAGGTAGTGCGCTCCAGGACGGGGGTGTTCACCAGTTCACCCCTGCCTACGAGCGTGTGACTCACTGCACGTGTGCTCGGACGGGCCGCCACCTAGCTACTTTCACTCGAGAGCCGGGGTCTGACCTGTACACACTGACCACTGAGTCCCCTCAGGTAGCTGCGTCTGCGTCAGCGTCAGGTCAGCTGTCCGCCCCCTGCTCGTGTCGCTCTCTGGCGAACGACACCGTCCTCTGGCACCACCGCCTTGGTCACCCGTCTGTGCAGCGCCTGCGGGCCATGCACAAACGGGACCTTGTTGCTGGTCTTCCCAGGGTGCTCCCTCCCCTTCCTGACTCCCCTGCTCCTGACTGCATTCCCTGTGTCGAGGGGCGGCAGCGCGCCGCTCCTCACTCCTCCTCCTTTCCCCCGACGACCGCTCCCCTACAGACGCTCCACATGAACGTGTGGGGCCCAGCCCGCGTCCGTGGTCAGGGTCAGGAGAGGTACTTCCTGATAGTTGTTGACGACTACTCGCGCTACACCACGGTCTTCCCCTTGCGCGCCAAGGGTGACGTCCCTGGTGTTTTGATCCCCTGGATCAGCCGAGCCCGTCTCCAGCTAGGCGAGCGCTTTCACTCGGACTTTCCTGTCCTGCGCTTGCACTCTGACAGAGGTGGTGAGTTTGCCTCCGACCTCTTGGCAGCCTACTGTGCTGAGCACGGCATTGAGCAGTCGTACACGCTTCCGGCCTCTCCACAGCAGAATGGGGTTGCTGAGCGCCGCATTGGCTTAGTCATGGAGGTCGCTCGTACCTCCCTGACCCATGCGGCTGCTCCCCACTTTCTGTGGCCGTTTGCGGTCCGGTACGCTGCGCATCAGCTCAACCTCTGGCCCCGTGTCTCCTTGCCGGAGACTTCCCCGACTCTGCGGTGGACGGGAGAGGTTGGCGATGCGTCGCGTTTCCGGGTGTGGGGATCCCGAGCTTGAGGGTTTCGATTGGGTTCACTTGCCACCTGTCGCCACATAACGCGCGATCTGCCACACAAAGGACTCGTCCACAGAGCCATCCCCAATGCATCAGCATGCTCAACCACTTCCTTGTTGACTCACTTCAGCATTTCTGTTTCTCTTCTAGTTGTTCTATGTTCTAATCTTGCTCTTTCCTAGCCATTCGTAGCTCAGCCTAAATGTCATGCTCCTATCCTGCCATACCGTAGCCGTTATCTTATCTTCCCTAACTCTTAAACTCAGCCAGCAATGTAGCTGTTTCTCCAAACATTTCAGTTTTTGTGCCAACTATCAGTGTTAAAGTCTTAACACTTATAATTTATATCTTTTATTGCTTCCCGTTATTGTTTTAACTTTCCGTGGCAGACGACGAGTGTCAACACAACCTGCGAGTCTTCAGCGACAAAATGACATCAATAATGGAGATTCGTATTATTTTTTCCCTACCTGAAATTATTTTCTAAACATATTACCGTACAATCGTTCTTTTCGCCATTGAGATCTGTTAAAGGTCTTTCTTACTTGCAGATTGTTGTTCCATTTCTTGGATTTTGCAATATATTGTATCTTTCCTTCCACCATAGCAATCTATGAAATCACCTTCCACTTGCAGATTGTTGTTCCATTTTCTATGACTTGCATTACGTGTCTTTACTTACTCGCAGAACAGAAGGTGAAGGTAATGGAAGTTGTTTGTATTATCGTAGATAGATCCCATCGTATGTTGTTTCCGCCATTTTATTGCTGTCAGCTTATCTCATGTTAGCTTTTTTATAGTCTCTACATGCAGGCGCATATATATTGTGATGATTAATTTGGTTCCACTATGCTGCATCGCCACCACTTCCGCGTCGCCTTCACTTTTCGCCCCTTATAACAACCTGACATGGAAACAAGCACGTGAATATTATTTTTATTATGCCATGCCTGATCTTATTTTGGGGCATAGAGCAATGAAGGTGATGTTTCCAAATTATAAGGTGATAATTGCTAAATGATTGTTCTTGTTTTTATATTCTTTAGCTGACGTTATCTCATTTGTAACGCCTTTCACCCTATAATGTGTGTTGGTTTTGTGTTCTCATGTTGGTTTATGTTAAATTATATTGCATATCCTGTTTACACAGCTTGCAGCTAGTGTATTAGTTTAGCTATTAGTACCAACTGCTGGTGGTGTACCCTCTCCTTTGCCCTTGCCTATATCTTTGTATGCCCTCCATTATTCAAACCCCTCTTTTGGCCATCTCCAAAACCTCTCGATACCATCTCTAACTCCAAGCTTCTCTCCTAAGCCTAAGTCATGCCTCCTAAGCTCCTAGTTACTTTGACATGGTATTAAGAGCTGGGCCTTTCTAAGGCCTGATTTTCATTCCCCATGGGCCCACCGCGTATCTCCCGACTGGCGCTCGTCACGCCCTCCGTCGCGCCCTTAGTTGCGACCGTCGTGACGAGTGCGACGGCGGGATGTGTAGTGGCGACCGTCGGCCCGCTGCTTCGTTGCCTGCCCCGCGCTGCTCGCCCTGCGCTACCCGCTCCACGCGCTGGTCGCCCCGTCCCGCACGCTGGCGCGTCGCCCCGCCGCTGGTCGCGGACGCCAGCACCAGCGCCTCTGACCGTCGCGGACGCCAGCGCGAGCGCCAGCGACGGTCGCCACGGCGGTCGCCAGCGCCAGCGCGGACGCCAGCGCCAACGGCGGGCACCAGCGCCAGCGCCAACGGCGGACGCCAGCGCCCAGCGCCAACGGAGGTCGTCAGCGCCAGCGCGGACGCCAGCGACCAGCGCCAGCACCTCCGCCGACGCCAGCGCATGGGGGGGAGGGGGATGAGGGGGTGGCGGGGTGACCAGCTCCTTGCTCTCTCCCTGCAGCGCCTGTCGCTGTGGGTGGGGGGGGGAGGAGGGTGAGGGGGTGGCGGGAGAGCTTCTCCCGGGCCAGCCGCCTCCTCTCCTCTCGTCTCCTCTCTCCTCTGCTCCAACGGTCCCTTCTCTCCTCTCCTCTCCAACCGCCTCTCTCCACCTTTCCTCCTTCCCTCCTACCTTCGCTCCTCCAGCCGCCTCTCCGCTGCACTCCTCCCCCTATCTCCTCTCCTCCAGCCGCCTCTCCTTTGCCTCCGCCTCCTGTGCACCACTAGCTTCCTCCTCCTAACCAACAGTTGGTGTTAATCACCAGCAGCCTACGCCCTCTGGTTATCCCAGCCCTCCTCCGCGCCCTTCGCGCCCTCCTCCGTTCTGGCGTTCACAGGTGCTGCTGGTCAGCCACCACTGTCTCTGTGCCTATCCCAGCTACAGCAACCGCTCTCCAGGCGACCTGGTGCCAGACACCACTAGCTAAAGCCGTAAACAGTTACGGGGGTGTGTTAAATTATATTGCATATCCTGTTTATAACTGTTTACAGCTTGCAACTAGTGTATTAGTTTAGCTATTAGTACCAACTGCTGGTGGTGTACCCTCTCCTTTGCCCTTGCCTATATCTTTGTATGCCCTCCATTATTCAAACCCCTCTTTTGGCCATCTCCAAAACCTCTCGATACCATCTCTAACTCCAAGCTTCTCTCCTAAGCCTAAGTCATGCCTCCCAAGCTCCTAGTTACTTTGACAGTGTAGCACTGCAGTGATTTTTATATTATGGGGCCACTGTACAAAGCCCTGTTTTTTACATGGTCATGCTGATGTTTTTTTACGTTTTGTTGTATTGTGAAATATATATTATACATTTTTAACCAAAAATGCTTATTACCAAAAAGTAACACACTATGAAGGGGTTATAATACGTCCATGCGCTGGCCACGTGTGACACAAAGCTGACCCAAATCTGACTTTTCCCGCCAAATCTTAACCCGTACCTGACCCGTACCTGACTTTTCCCGCCAAAAACTTAACCCGTACCTGACCCGAAAGTCACTTTTGGGTGAGTCTGTCTGACCCTGGCCTCTCGATATCAGGGTGATTCACCCTTATGACCCTTACTATAAGGGTGTGTTTGACTATGCACCCTTTTTTACAAGACTGGTTTTGTTTTCGACCCTTACAAAAAAAAGTGATTGATTGTACCACACTGATATTTCAGAGCTAGGTGGTGCAGTAGCACTGATGAAATCGAGTTCGATCTAAGAGAGAATACTAGAATCGGTCGCATAAAGTATGCTACTCGCGTCGGATGACCGCGCCAAGATCGAACTTGGGTGCATCACATAACTTCGAAGACTCAACGCACTGCAACACCAGCACCTTTGATACCGTAATCCCCCGTATTTAGGATCCCCCCCCAGTTGTAGACCCCCGGGTCTATAATACGGCACCGGGTACTCTATTCGTGTACATCTGAGTTATACCCCCCTAAATGGACCCTAACTTTATAAGACCCCCCCCCACATCCTAGACAAGTGCGGATTTTACAAAGATGCGATTGAAAATGGTCAAATTCAGTGTTGATTAACAAAAATGGCACCCGTGAACACACATGCACACCCACATAACCCCACTAATCCTGTCCCGCAACCCAAATCTCCACCTCCTCCCCATCATATCGCCCTTCTGCCCACCACTCATCGCCATCGTCCTCCCATCCCGCTCCACCCTCCATCTCCGCACCGCCTTCCTCCCCGCCCTCCTCATCCTCCTCCTCTCCCTCCTCCTCCTCCTCCTCCTCCTCCTCCCCCTCCTCCTCCTCCTCCTCCTCCTCGTCCTCCTCCTCCTCGTCCTCCTCCTCCTCCTCCTCCTCGTCCTCCTCCTCCTCCTCCTCCTCCTCCTCCTCCTCCTCCTCCTCCTCCTCCTCCTCCTCCTCCTCCACCTCCTCCTCCTCATTTGGGGAGGAGGAGGAGCCGCTGTTCTTGCTCGCAGGGGCGGCAGGATCAGGGTAGAAAGGGTTGGGGACGAGCTCGTCGAGCTCCTCCTCTCACACATCCTCCAGCACCTCCACCTCCCTCTTATCGCGGAGGTGAGCGAGGATCATTTGATCCTCGCTCCCGTCGACGGCGTTGGAGATGCCGCAGGTCACGAAGGACTTCTTGATGAGTTCTTCTGGCACTTCTGCCCATGCCTCCGCAATCCAGCAGAGGACCTTCTCTGGAGGCGGCTTCTTCAAATTCCTTGCAGAAAATGACACGGGTATGGGCAGACGTGAGTCACCACACGGTGAAGGCACGCATTGATACAGGGACAGCTCTCATCCTCACCTGCAGGGGTGAAAGAATCAATCCCCTCATCATGGAACCACGTGGAGTAGCGGTGGCGAACCCCGGCTTTGAAGCTGCGATTCACCGAGACGTCCAGGGGTTGCACCAGCGAGGTGCAACCACCCGGGATCACCGCGCGCGTGAGCTTAAACAGCTTCATCGTCTGGCCCACTGCTGGCGTGGTGTGCCCTCGGTAGGAGTCGAGGATGAGGAGTGCATCCTTGCGCTGCCCTTCCTCCTCGCGGTGCGGCTTCAGGAAGGGGACGAGGACCTTCGTTGTCCACTCCTGGACAAGGCCCTCGTCCATCCAGCCCTTTTCCTGGGCGCGCACGACAATGCCTGCACAAAAAAAAAAAGAATCGTGAGCGGTTTTTTTCCTTGACCCAGGCGATGGCAGAACACTCGGTAACTCGCAACTCACCGCGGGGGATGGGGATCTTCGGCAAGGTCTTCCGCTTGAAGACTACGAACGGAGGGAGCTTCAAGCCACCTGCAGTCACCGCCAGCATGACCGTGACGCGCTGCTTCTCGTACCCCGCGGTGCGCACGTGCACGGTCCGAGCGCCTTTCATCTCGAGGGTGCGCTCGGCAGGCATCTCAAGAAACAGGGGTGTCTGATCCGCGTTCACGATCAGGTTTAGGGCGTACTCGTTGAGCACGCGCATCTGCCTCACGAATTCCCAGAAGGCCTCGCACTTCTCCTTGCAATCTGCATCACACGGGATAAGGGGGAGTAAGGCCAGGTAGGTAGGTACCAGTTTACATCTGGAAACATCGGGTAAGGCGAGGTCAAGGTACCTACAGCGAGCTTCTGCCTGATCTTTGTCTTCACGCGCCGCGCCAGGGACCACCGCCTGCGGAACCTTTTCGTCCAGCGGCTGGATGACGACCACTTCTTCTGGGGGTGGCGATGCTTCATGTAGGTCGCCGCCCAACTCTGGAGCAGACCGATGGAAATCGGCAGGCCTCTCCCATGGTGCAACAGGAACCTGCGGTATACCGCAACCTCCATATCGGGGTACTTGGGCTTTCGTCCCGCACCAGTGAGACGTTGGCGACACCCTGCCGCTTTGTCGAGCCGCTCCTTCATGCTGCGCCAGTCGCGGATCTGCTTCGGCTGGACTTTGGCGAGCCTCGCCAAACCCCGGACGCTCATAGGTGGCTGCGCGACGAGCATCTTGAGCCAGTACAGCTTTTCCTTGACGGTGTACGCTTTCCGCTTCTTCTCCGTTTGTCTGCGCCTTGTCTCCGGCGTCTCTGCGTCGCGCTCCCGCTTCTTCTGTCCCCGCGGTCGGCTTGATACAGGGAACATGGGAACCTTCACCTGCGGAAGCAGACCGCGTGGGCTCTCGCTGGGCTCCTTATCTGTCGCCTCGCTGCTAGAGGAACTTGGCGTAGGCAGGATGGGCCTGGGCGACGGCCTAGGAACAGGAGGGCTCGGCACCTTCTTGCGGCACTTGCGTCGAGCACCGGCCTTCCCAGTATCTGGTGAGGGCACCATGGCGGCTAAGATGGAGCTAAAGTGGCTGCTAGCTTCGAGGCGAAATGGAATAGGCAGCCATCTTCTACGAGGCAGCCAGCCGAGCACAGTACGGGGAATGAAACAGGAGGGGGAAAGTGAAGTCAGGCCGATGAACAAGGACGTGCCTGAATACAGTGGGATGTCTGGAAGATCCCGCCCTTTCCAGGACCGTGGAGCCCGTACGAAGCGTGCATGGGGTGTGAAGGCCGAGGCCATCAAACGGTGCCCTGCGCTGTTGTGTGGACACCAAGTGGTGTTGGTGGCCAATGGGAGGAGGCTCCCAGATAGGGTTCGTGATGACGTGGGTTCGGCCCGTGTGGAGACCAATTCGAGTATATTTGGCAGGAGCTAAAAACGGAGAGCTTCCAAAACACTAATTTGAGCTCCAAAACTACATTTTTATATATGTCAATATGAACAGACCCGGGTCTTCTAAAAAATACACCATGTAATTATACCCCCCAGCCTATTTAGGGGTGATTATCATAAGACCCTAGGGTCTTATATACGGGGGATTACGGTAGAACGGTCAGGCAAAATACTTGGCTGTTTGATTGATTTGTTTGCACCCTGATTTTTAAGAGCAGTTTCTGTGAAGCACCCTTACTGAAAGAGTAACAGCTGGGTGTTGGCCTTACGAGGAAGAGTACCCCAAATCCTATCCAGAGGCCTGGTCTGACCTCAAACTAACCTTAAGTGTCAGTTCCAAAAGTAACTTTTGGGACAGATTTCCAGATGTCCCGAATCTTGCCCGGAAGTCACCTGGGGGTCCCTTTTGGGTCTGTACATTTTAGAGACGAAACCCTAATTTGGGTTGTACTCACTATAGAGTACCCTAGTGCAAACTAAACAATTATAGCATTCTGACATCAAAGATGTACGGTAAGCGAAATGGGAGGCAATAATAAATACGGTAATGAAACTAGCAGGTTGTAACATTATCCTGAGTATAGCATGAGCGATTATAGCCAGAATGCGGTCTAGCAGGTTGCAGCAGGTGCAGGTGTAGCGAAGAGCACCACTAGGTATTCGAGCGCAAATCTGCTTGATTTAGACCTTGGCACTTGCATCTGGCTGGTAGCTGGCGTAGCCCTCCGCATTCGTGCCCTAAGGGGCTGCGTCTGAAGCAGGTACCGGTACTGGCTTCCACTCGCATATGCAGGCACTTCCACCACTGTGCAGGAACGAGGGCAGATTGCGGATTACTTTGTGAGGGCAGAGGACACGGTTAAGAGGGATGCCTCACAATAAATCAGAGCGTACCTATCTGCTGTATTACTGGTTACGTTTGTTTGTTGTCAGCGTGGGAGGAGATGTGATTCTCAGGTGAACGTGTATGCATGTCTAGGAAAGACCCCAGCAAAGAAAGCTAAGGGAGGGTAGGAAATGGTGCCAACCTTCGGTTTTCTTGCCGCTGCGAATGACAACGAAAACAGCGGCTATGATGCGATTATGAGCAACACGACGCCCACCACGATGCCCACGATGGCTCCTGTAGACAACCCCGAGCTGGAGGAGGATGCCTTGGCACTGGCGTTGGCATTGTTGTTATTGGTGTTGGTGGTGGTGGTGGTGGTGGGGTCTGGAATCGGCAAGTTGAGAGGGAATTTAGTAGAAAGATGGGATCAGAGAGGTGGAATGAACGTGGAATGAGGGGAAGGTGGAATGAGGAATGCTGAAGTGGAGATCAACCTTATGGTCCAGAGGGCGAGACGCATGTTAGCCCCGGTGGTCAGTGACTGAGATAGTGAATAAGGAGGAGGTGGGGATGACGGGAAGGTGGAGTGAGGGCGAAAGGTGCAATGAGGTGAGAAAGCAGGTGCAGTGTGGTGAGAAATAGGTGCAGTGAGGTGAGAAACAGGTGCAGTGAGGTGAGAAACAGGTGCAGCGAGGTGAGGGGAACAGAGTGTGGGAAAGCATTCCGCAAGACTACTACTAATTCTAAAATAAGCGGGTAAAAAGATGTTATAATCAGAATGATTTATTCAAATGGAAAAAAAAAGACCGAGAACTCAAATTCCAACTTAGTTTTGATGCAGGTTATCTAGTCAGGTGCCATGGTATCCAATTCACGATTCTTCTTGTTGCAGGTAGAGTAAAAGGAGTGTTGTGGGGTAAGACACGACTTCTGAGACTGCCTCAGACCTCGCCTCCGGTTCCAACTCACAGGTCGTCTTGTTGCAAGTGTAGCAGAAGGTGAAGCAGTACTTGCATAGCTGGCTGCTGTACGTCTGCGGAACCACACAGCTGGTGTTGCCACTGGGGCATTCAGGGCCGGTTCCCAACGCCCTGGAAGGGGGAGCGGAAGGGGGAGCGGAAGTGGGAGCGGAAGGGGGAGGAATGGAAGAGGAGGTGGGGTATGCAGACCAGTCTGTTTTTGAGGCGCCTGAAACACAGCTGGTGTAGTCCCGAAGGCACTCAGGGCCGGTTCCCAACCACTTGGAAGGGGGGAGTGGAAGGGAGAGGAAGGGAAGAGGAGTGCGCAGATAAGATGTGAGATAGGTTATGAAGGGGAGTCTATTTGTTACGCTTCTGCAAGTGTGGAAAAACATGTAGGTGAGTGAGGGAGAGAGTGTGTGTGTGTGTGTGCGCGCACGCGCATGTGTGTGTGCGCGCGCGCGCGTGTGTGTGTGTGAATGAGTGTGCATGTGTGTGCATGTGCATGTGTGCATGTGCGCATGTGTGCATGTGCCCGTGTGTGAGCGTGTGTGTACGTCTGTGTGTGTGCTGCTCACAAGGTACTGAGCTTGGTGAGGGATCCAAGACCCGCGAGAGTCGGTCCAGAGAGTGTGTTATCAGGTTGGCGCACGCGCGCGCGTTCGCGTGCGTACGCCTGTGTGCATGTCTGTTTGTGTGCTGCTCACAAGTTACTAAGGTTGGTGAGGGATCCAAGACCTGCGGGAATCAGTCCAGAGAGTGCGTTTTCAGACAGTATCCTGTAACCATGTGTGAGTTGACAGGAAGAGGGTAGAAGAGGCAGGGTGGTAGGAGGCAGGAGAGAGGGGATAAGGATTAGGACGCTATGGCTGGGCACTCTACACTGAAAGGAACAAGCCAAGACGTGACCAATGGCGCGCTCAGTGGAGTGAGGCCAGCACACAGGATGCAGGGGCGAAGGGTGCAGCTCTGTGCGGCCAAGCGTACAGCTGTGTGCGGCCAAGCGTACAGCTGTGTGCGGCCAAGCGTACAGCTGTGTGCGGCCAAGCGTACAGCTGTGTGCGGCCAAGCGTACAGCTGTGTGCGGCCAAGCGTACAGCTGTGTGCAGCCTTGAAGGTTACTGTTGAATCGACTCAGAGGGGCTAGAGAGGGGAGGCCTACAGTTCTTCGAGGCCTTGGAGGTTGTATATGGTATCAGGGATGGAGCCGTTGAGGGTGTTCCTCTGCAAGTCACTGCCACATGCCGCAGGTCATGGAGGGGTGAGGGGATGGGTGGATGGGTGGATGGGGGGATGGGTGGAAGGGTGAAGAGATCACTTTTGAGGCACCTCAATGGCATCAGGGATGGAGCTGGTGAGGGTGTTCCCGTGCAATTCACTGCCACATGCCGCAGGTCATAGGGGGGATAGGTGAAGGGATGAAACGGGGGGAGTGATGAGATGAGACGGAGTGATGAGAGGGAGAGGAGGGAGGGAGGGATGAGACGGACTGATCAGACCGAGTGATGAACATAATGAGAGGAGCAGAAGCAAATGCAAGAGATTGGTGAGGAAGGCAAGCGTTTGTGAGGCATATGGCAGCTGCTGCCAATGTCAGGGCTCCCTTGAATGGATGATTGACTTCGTCACTCACATGTGAGAGAACTTGGTGAGAGACGAAACCTCCGGAGGGATAGGGCCGTGCTTTGAGGCCTCTGAGGCGCCTCACAAGAAATTGTCTGTCTCGCCACTCACAGGTAAGTCAGGTGTGTGAGTGTCATAAGCTCAGAGGGGATAGGACCTTCCAACATGTTGAAACTGAGGTCACTGTAATGTCGGGAAGAGGTGAGGAGAGAAAGAACAAGTGATGAGGCGCCACACTTAAGGTCACTGCAATGCTGGGGAATTGGGCAGAAGAGCAAGAACAAGTGATGAGGCGCCTCTGAAGGGATAGGACGGTGAACATGTTGTAAGTGAGGTCACTGTAAGGATGGGGTAAAGGTGGGGAGAACAAATGCGTGGAAGAGTTTTGAGGCGCCTCAAAAGACCGTCCAACATGCTGTAGCAGAGGTCACTGTAGTGATGGGGAAACGGACAGGAGAGCAGGAGCAAGTCATGAGTTGCCGTCTGAAAGGGCTCCGGAGGGTTAGGACCTTCCAAGATATTGTGAATGAGGTCGTTGTAATGATAGGGAAGAGGTGAGGAGAGCAAGTGGTTGGAAGAGGAAGGGATGCCAAGGAGACAAGGAAAGGAGGGCGATGTGAGAAACAAAAGAAAATGGCAGCAAGGGGGAAGGCGCAGAGAAGTGTATGTGCAAACAGGTACACAGGGAAGCACAGGTAGCGTGGTGAGGGTTGAGTTGCCTTGTGCTGCTTACAAGTGTTCGAGGCTGGAGAGAAAGCCGATGGCGGATGAGAGGGTGCTGATGTTGTTACTTGAAAGGTAGCTGTTGCGCACAGGGAGGGAGGAAGGCAGGCAGGGGTGAGTGAAAAGGTCTTTGTGGGAAAGGAGCGGGCGCAAAGATCAGAGCGTGTTAACTTGACAGAGACTCAAGCAGAGATACGGAGCTGCATCTACAGTTGGTTCTCAGGTATATTGAGGCCACGGCCAGCTTTAATGACTGTACTGTACTACACTCCCACCTGCCACCTGCCCCCTGCCACCTGCCACCTGCTGTGCCTGACACCAGAACAAGTAGGCAGGTTCGATGTCTGTCACTGTTCATGGTTGCTCCAGGTTGAAGCTATCTCTAGTGCTTCAGGCTGGCGCACTCACAGGCGTCTTACGTTGGTGCACTCTCTAGTGCTTCAGGTTGGTACACTCGCAGGTGCTTCTGTGGGGCA